CTCTCTCTCTCTCTCCTTCTCTGTAAATCTTCCTGTATCCCCCTCTTTCTCACTCTCTGTAAGTCTTCTTGTATCCCCTCTCTTTCTCTCTCTGTAACTCTTCTTGTATCCCCTCTCTTTCTCTCTCTGTAACTCTTCCTGTATCCCCCTCTCACTCTCTCTCTGTAAGTCTCCCTGTATCCCTTTCTCTCTCTCTCTCTCTCTCTGTGAGTCTCCCTGTATCCCTTTCTCTCTCTCTCTCTCTCTCTCTGTGAGTCTCCCTGTATCCTTCTCTCTAACTCTCTGTAAATTTGCCTGTACCCCCCCCCTCTCTCTCTCTGTAAGCCTTCCTGTACCCCCTCTCTCTGCAAGTCTTCCTGTATCCCCCTCTTTCTCACTCTCTGTAAGTCTCCCTGTATCCCTTTCTCTCTCTCTCTCTCTGTAACTCTTCTTGTATCCCCTCTCTTTCTCTCTCTGTAACTCTTCCTGTACCCCCCTCTCTCTCTCTCTGTTTTAAACTTGGCATTGACCAAGACAATCCCCGTCTCTTGAAAGTCAAGAACGATCAAATTGTAATTTTTAAAAAATGAAGAAGACAAAAGACAAACATTAACGATCAATAAATTAATAACTCAATAATGAACGACAAATCATTTTCATTAACGACAAAGCAATTAATAATGATGATAATAATGATAGTAATAATAATAATAATAATAATAATAATAATAATAATAATAATAATAATAAAGCCAACGGCCATAGCGTGCTGGTCACACCGGTTCCCGTACGATCACCGAAGTTAAGCAGCATCGGGCGTGGTGCAAACTTGGATGGGTGACCGTCTGAGAACGCCACGTGCTGTTGGCTTAAAAGAGCAAAAAAAAAAAAAATGAGAACAAGACAAAGTAAGAACCAAAAACAAATCTTGTTCTACTGTCGACCTGAGGCAGCTCGACGAGAATGTGAATTTCACTGCTTCTGACCCTGGCCACTCCAAAGATGTTAGTCACCGGAGCCCAGTTCAGGAGACAAATCGTTCCCATCGAAAAAGACGGACTCAGGAAGACCTTCAAGAATTGATGTGGTGCTATCTTATAATAAGTGGCACCACCGAAATTCGAGTATTTGTCCCTAAGGAATCGGGTAGAAACCTCGGATAAATACTTAAAAACTCCGACAAGTAGCCTTGTCGTGTTTAATGGTGGATAATAATAATAATAATAATAATAATAATATAATAATAATAATAATAATAAAACGGATA